TATATATATATATATATATATATATATATATATATATATATAAGCTTCTCATAATTATCATCATCATAATCTTCAAATGATCAATTCTGATGATTCAATGAAGCAAGTCCACCGAATTAGCAATGGACTGGCCGCTTGATATATATATATATATATATATATATATATATATATAAGCTTCTCATAATTATCATCATCATAATCTTCAAATGATCAATTCTGATGATTCAATGAAGCAAGTCCACCGAATTAGCAATGGACTGGCCGCTTGACGACTCGGCTCTAAGATGAGCCGCGTTGCAGGGAATGATAACCTGATCATGATGATCAAAATGATCATGATCATCATGATTCTGATCATCCATGAATTGCTCAACGTTTGGTCTGATACTGTAGGGGCTGGTGATTTTTAGGTCAGTGAGCATTTGCCGGAGGTTGGACGCCTCCTCCTTGAGGCGGGCATTCTCCTCGAGGACCCGGTCGTGGCATTCGGACACGTGGTTGAGCTTGTCGATGAGGGAGTGGTTCTCCGACCGCAGCCGGACAACCTGCGACCAAAGCTCGTCGAGGTGCTTCTGCTTCCTCATCCTCGACCGCCTCGCAGACTCCCGGTTGGATATCATCCGCCTCTGCCGCCGCTCGTCGATGATCCTCAGCTGCTGCTGCTGCTCCTCCTCCGCCTCGTCCGACGTGCTCGACGCGTTGCTGCTCGGGCACGGCGTCGTTATGTACTGGAAGTTCGTCGGGATAGCATTGTTGTTGTTGCTGCTGCTGCTGCTGCTGAAGTTTTGGAAAGATTGGATGTTGTTGTTGAAGCTTGGAGGAAGTACAAGTGGGATAGGGTTTTCATGTGGGAAATAGTAGATTCCTGTGAGCTCGCCGGGGATCATGGTTAATTTTTGTTAATTGTGAGTTTGATGATCAAGAAAGGAAGTTTTATGATTGTTTTATGGAATTGTATTGAAGTTGGCTTTGTGTGTGTGTGTTTGTGTGTGTGTGTGTGTATATATATATATATATTGTGATGAGATGATTGTTTGGAGGGAGGGTGAAGAGGGGTTTTTATAGGTTGGAAATGGGTTGAGGAATTTGTTAAGTGTGGGGCCCAGTTTTGGCAACAAAGTGTGTAATTGTGTAAAACAGGGGCTTATATTACATGGGCAGAATGTAATGACAATTATTGGAATGACACAAACGAATATGCGTGTAATGTAGCATGTCGGGTAAGATATGTATGCATCTATATGTGTGTGAACCATATTTTTCGCAAAAACAAAGTTGATGATGGCAATTTGGGTCCATCTTGGTTATTTATAGGGCACGATATGAAAATAATAATAATAATAAACATAATGCAAAACAAATTACTTCATCTTGAAATAAAAATCTAGATGTTCAGCAATATATATACACTATTCATAACTATATTTTGTAGTTAGTACTATATGGTAAATCCAGACCTACTTCAATATGAAGGTTTAAAATTCGAATTCTCTCATTCTAAATTGTAAAGAAAATAAGTATTTTCTATCTCATGATTCTCTAATGATGTATCTGATTTTATTTTTGTCAAAACAAAAGTGGGAATTTTTTTTTTTCTCTTTTACTGGGTGAGCAAAAAAGAAGTGGGTTATATATAGACAGACCAAATTTGGGGAAAGGAGTGTACTTAGCACTAAATTAGTATCTCCTAAATTAAGGGACGGTAAAAATTACGTACTATATTGTAAATGTTTAAATTCTTTGAGATGCCGCGACATGTTACTTTGTTTAATTTTGTTAATTTACATATAATGGCCCTTCTGAGAATCTTGGAGCTTGATTCTTGTTGCCTTTTTTTGCAGCAACTAATGGATTTTCTTCCTTCTTTAAATTTTTTTCTTTTATTTGGAAAAGTAATCGTTGAGGTTTCTTTCTGTAGCTCATTAATTATAAGGATTGATTTTTATGTATTTATATATATATATAATATATATATATATATATACATATAACAAGAGTGTTTGATGTACACATGCTATGATATTTATTATGCATGAGTATGCGTCGATATAGGAAAGATTTGGATAATCATTTCATTTGGCATCACTTATGTAATGCTTAGTAGAAGAAGGAAAAAAAAAAAAAAACGAAAGAAAAGTTTCATCATGTGGGATTGCAATAATTAAGGTGAGGAATTTTGTTTCAAAATACTGAAAAGAGGGGGGAAAGGGAAGAAAAAAGGCAGTTGAAGAATGGTTGTGACGTCAAAATCTCAGGAGAGTTTTTTTTTCAATGAGGACCGAACAAAGCCAATTTGAGAAGCCGATTGAAAACTTCCACAACTCTCTTTGACAGCCAATATAGCGCCTTGTGGCTGATGACGCAATGAAAGCCAGTTTAAAAGGTCAATTATTATAAATAAAGAGTTTTGAGTGTTAATGACCATGTTTTTATAAAATAGTATATATACACAAGTTTTGGTGACTCACTGAGCACTTCAGTCTTGGATTGGGGGGTCCCACCAGATTGTAAATTGTATGAATTTTGTAGTAAAAATCAGGTACCTAATAAATATACTCTCTCTCTCTCTCTCTCTCTCTCTCTCTCTCTCTCCCCTGCCATCTTACTCTTTCCTCTCTCTCCCCTGCAATCTTACTCTTTCTAGAGGGGTTCTTAATATTTGTGGTGAACTAGAAAGAACACATGTTGTGCATATTACTGTTTTAGCTTGGGAACATGTCGCTTGGCCTTTATATCCTGTTTCCCAATTGTTATGGTCATTTTGCTTTAGTTTGTCACGTAACGCAGGCAAAATTTCCTCTTGTATAGGATAATGCAAAGGGTGATTTTTACTTTGTCGTCTGGAAAGAGATCTTTTTTCAGCTGGGTCTCTAAAGGTTTCAAATTTCTTCAAAGTATATAATATGTGATGTAACTCTTCATTTTCAACTCTTAAGTGCTCTTTTCTTATCTCATGTTATCATCTTCTTATCTCATGTTATCATCTTCTAATCTATTGCATCAATCTTTTTTTTTTTTTTTTGAGAGCTTTGAAGCTAAGATAACTATAAACAATATATCACATCCTCTTGGCTCATTGGAAGGGAACTAAATGGCAATATGTCACGAGGCCAATGGTACTCTCTACCTAAACTCCTCTTGAATAGATTATCTGTAATCTAAACATGTAAACTTTAGCTACCTATATATGTATGTATAAAATATACAGTTCTCTTCCACTAATATAATTTTGAAGTATCTGTGGCTGTTGTACACTGCTATATATTATATATTCTTTCATGAAGCATCAAGTCTATATTGACACCTAAATTTCTTTCTCTTTTATTTATCATTTCTGAAAACCACCTTATCAAAACTGTGATATAATTATCTTATATATATATATATATATATAAAAACTAAGATACATTATATTGAACTTGTTAGAAGTGGCAGTCTCTAAACCGAGGGTATATAATTAAATTATTCTCCCATGTATTTTATAAAGTGGTAGCCAATCATCTAATCTTTTGTTGAGGTCCACTAGCAAATTGTTGAGAAAAGGTGTTAATAATAATGAAAGAAGATTAGATCAAAAAAGTACTCTTGGCAAATCTCCTAAGGCAGCAACTTGCAAACGCAAACATTTTTATTCTATTTATATTCACAGAGCTTATTATTCTATCCTCTACTTTTTGTTTTTTTCTCCATATTTAACAATTTATAGTTTAGGTGATTCTCCACTATAAAACTTCTATTCAGCTTCTAAATTGTAAAGCAAACTGGATAAGGGTGAGGCTCATTAAAGAACTTTCGTAGAAGAGTATCATCTGTGGAGAAGTATTTTTTTCTTCTTTCCTTATTTTTTCCTTTGTCTCTACAAATTTCCTTTCTTAGATTCATAGTACTCGAGTATACTTGCTAATTTCTCTTTCTTTCTCTACAAATACACACACATATTTTTTATATATATAATCCGTGTGTTGTACCACCAAGTGTGGTGGCCTAGTAGCATTAATGGAATATCATGGTGGGTTTCTGATCACGGTTTTAAGTGATGGGTTACCTTTTTGATGATATTAAATGCAAAAACTTGTTTACTACTAATCTAGTATTTGATTTAAAGCTAGCACATTCTGTGGAGCTGGGGTGACACCGTCTACTTCAGAGGGGTAGGGCCCGCCTTGTGAGGTCTTCAACAAACATTCTTATCAGTATATGGGGACCTTTAGTAACACCTAGAGAGATATGCTAACGTTAGTCACTCCTCGTGGACTTCATTTTAGATAATCATTAATCTAACAATAATCCTCACAAATTGTGTAGGCGTACGTAGCCTTGTGAAGAAATGTAATTGCTTAAGAATATATAACTAAATAAGTAATTTTGTACAAATATCTCCCAATATCAGGAGCCTTGGACGAGTACACACTACTAGCATATAAAAGACACTAAAAATGGTCATGTGATCAGAAGAGAAAAATATAGGAGAGAGAAGTAGAAACGTTAAAATAAAGTGTGTAATTATACTTTTTTTTTTTATCACAAACTATATAAAGAAGCATGCATGTGACATTGTCGTCGTTCACAAAAAGAACCAAATCTTGCCAATACATTAATTTCAGTGCATATGCTTTTCTAACAAGGATGTTATATGTGTATGGCTAGCCACGCAAATTGCCGCCTATATGGCTAGCTAGAGAAAAAGAAGGGAAAAAAACAAAGCAATTTGCCCACAACATTAGGCCCTCTAACCATGAATATATATATATTATACTTTTTTTTACTCATGATGAACCCAATTGGAGGATCAACCAAACTTTTGGTTCCGCCTACCAATAAAAATGAAGCAACAAGGAAAAAAAAGTGAAAAGATAAAAGAGAAAGATATATATAGGGAGGTTTTCTAATACACCTGACATATCAATAGATCAAGTTTTTTTAATCATTAAATTTGTGTATTTTTTGACTTTTACGTGATTTTATATAAATTTAATGGACAAAAAACTTGACCTACTAATATATTGGTATATCAGAAAATGTCACATATCATTCATAAGATCTGTTTTCCCAAAATTTCATGCATATATGGATTCTAAGCTAGTCTCTAGAGAGTACTTTTCTAGGCCAAGCAAAAAAATTTGCAGAGTGGACGGCACAAAGGGAGTGTGGAAAATATGCTGGGTACGGAGGGGGACTGGATTTAACGGGGACCCCATTATGAGTAGGAATATATAGATTAATTTTGGAATGGAACAACATGAAACATATGATTGTGCCTAGTGATTTATACATAATTACATAAAAGAAGTGGGGTCCAAATGAGTTTTATTATTATTATTATTGTTGTTATTGTTGTTGTTGTTGTTATTAATTTTTTATTTTATTTTTGCGCTACACAAGCGTGTGTGTGTTGTGTGGGTGCCCGGTGCACCACCCCACTATGATATCCCAACCTTGCACAGCCCGTCAACTCAACCCCAAGGAGATCCACCCACTCACCCAACCACCTCACTTTTCTTCTCTTTCTTTTTGGAGGCACAATTAACACCCCCTTTGATCTAACTTTTGGTTTTGTTATAAATATTCTCTTTTCTAAGTCTTTTTCTCATCATTTTTATTTGGATTAAATTCAAAAATTTCCCCTCTCAATTATAGTGCTATAGCAAGTATGTTTCTCCCAATCTTCAAATTTTAAAAACATAACATTTATTCTCCCTGAGTTAGAAATATTACAAAAAAAATTTCCTTTGTTAAGATTTTTTTAAATAAAATTAACGTGAAATTAGCATGTCGTACGTAATTTAGGAGTATTTTGCTAACTTACAACTATGTTCACATCCAATTTGACTTTTAAACAATTTAATTCAAACATTGTAATTTGTTAAGGAAAAACTAATATTAAATA